ATGGGCCAGATCAGCTCAATAACAACGGTAGGAGGCTGCTAGATTTTTGTGCAGCCCATGGGCTTGTAATTACCAACACGCTGTTCCGGCATCGGCGCATCCACACAACATCATGGATGCATGCCGGGTCCAAGCAAGAACATCTGCTGGACTACATAGTGACGGACCAGCGAATGCGAGCCCATGTCCTTGACACCAGGACCTACCGTGGAGCTGATCTGCCCTCTGACCATCGACTAGTCATCTGTAAGATGCGCCTGCCATTCTTCCACTCCGGTGGTGGGTGTACACCCAGGACCCCATTCCAACCTAAAGTGGCCTGGTCTCAGTTATCTGATGAAAGTTGCAAGCGAGAATTTCATCATCGCTTGCAGCTGGGATTGGCATCGTCCCCGACTCCTCCTGATGTCGAGGGTAAATGGGCGAGGTTTAGGACTGTGACTCATGCAGCTGCAATGGCTGCTTTGGGTACGCGGTCCAGACCTCCCCAGACACCCTGGATGACAGAGGAGTTGTTCAGGATGGTTGAGAAAAAGCGACAGGCCCACTGTCATCGGCTACAGAATCCCACGTCAGAGAATGAGGAGGCTTACCGCAGCCTTCGCTCGGAGGTTCGGAGAGCCGTGAGGCGCTGCAAGGATGGGTGGTGGTCGCGGGTTGCTGAGGAGATGGAGTCTGCCTCAGTGGCCCGTGATCACAAATCGCTATTTAACTCCATCAAAAAAGTAACCTGCAGCGCCACACCTATTACCATCATTAGGGGAAAAAACGGTGATCCAATTTCCGACCCCCAGGAACAGGTTCGCAGATTTGCTGAGCATTTCTGTGAGGTCCTGGGGGAGGGAAAATCCCACAGCCAGGAAAACATCGTGGCACAAAGTGAGGATGACCCTGCTGAGGCTGCGGTGCCTCAAATATTGGATGAAGTCACCCCCTGTGAGTGGCTGGCTGAGGTGCCATCTGCTGAGGAAGTATTGAAGGCGATACGGAGTCTGAGACCAGGAAAGGCAGCGGGCAGAGATGATCTCCCAAGCGAAATGCTGAGGGAGGGTGGCGTTTGTGCACAGACTGCCCTATATGACATCATAACAACAGTCTGGACCACTGGGCGGGTTCCGCAGGATTGGAAGGATGCCCTGGTGGTCCCCCTTTTTAAGAAGGGGGACCGCACAGACTGTAACAACTACAGGGGCATCTCACTCCTCAGTGTGCCGGGAAAGGTCCTGGCAAGGATTATTCAGCATCGCCTTGCCAGGCACGCTGAGGAGAGGCTTGCGGAGCCCCAATGCGGTTTCAGGAAAGGGCGGTCCTGCACGGATGCCATATTTTCTGTCCGTCTGCTACAGCAGAGGTGTAGGGAATTCCAGCAAGACCTACATCTCTGCTTTATTGACCTGGTCAAGGCCTATGATACCATCAGTAGGCCTGGGCTCTGGGTCGTTCTTCGTGCTTTTGGAGTACCTGACCCTCTGCTCACGATCATTAAGGACCTTCATGATGGTGAGCGGGCCCGGGTAAAACTACGTGGCCGGGAGTCAGAGCCATTCCCTGTACACCTTGGGGTGCGACAGGGATGTCCTCTGGCTCCCACATTATTTAACATCTATTTTGACCACGTAGTTCGTGAAGCCTTGAATAGCTGTACCGGGGGAATCTCCATATGGTACAGATATAATGGGAGGCTAGTCGATGCCCAGGTGCGGTCAAGGGATGGCTCCCTATTGCTCAACCACGTTATGTATGCTGATGACTTGGTAATGGCTGCTCAGTCAGAGGAGGAGTTGGAGACGCTGCTGCTGAGACTGGAGCGTGCCACTAAGAGGTGGGGCCTTACCATCAGCCCCACCAAAACTAAGCACCTGCCTGGGTGTTTTGTGCCATCGGACACTCCGCCCCCACGGCTCCCAATCGGTGATGGGGCAGTTGTGGAGAGAGTGGAGAGTTTCCCATGCCTGGGCAGTGTGCTTATGACTGGCTCCAGTTTAACAGCAGAGGTCTCACTCCGAATCAGTCGAGCGGCAATATCTTTTCATCGGTTGCGTAACGCTGTGTGGAAGCTACCTGGTCTGTCGCTCCGCACTAAGCTTCAGGTCTTCTCGGCCACGGTCATTCCCTCCCTTCTCTACGCTTGCGAAACGTGGACCCCCCTAATGGAACATCTTCGCCGGTTAGAAACATTTAGGCTGACCTGCCTACGATCCATCCTGGGTTTAACCAGACTGGATTGTGTGAGGAGCTCACAAATCCTTGAAAGATCTGGGCAGGGTCCCATCGGTGAGCTCCTCCGGCAGGCAAGGCTGCGATGGCTGGGTCATGTAGCCCGCATGCCCAGCCACCGCATGCCGAAACAGCTTTTGTTTGGCCGGATTGAGGGGGCTAAGCGGGCGCGGCACGGGCTAGAGAAGAGATGGAGTGATGTGGTACAGGAGGACGTGGAGCTGAGTGGACTTGCCGATGACTGGTACCAGCGGTGTCAAGATCGGCCTCTGTGGAGGAGGCTCGTGAAGGATGCTACTGGGCAGTTGGAGGCAGTCGCCCTCCAACAACAACGGAGGGCGGAGGAGCGACGCTCACAACAGCGAGCGGAGCGCCGGGTGGCTAAAGCACAGCAGGTTGGCACAGTAGGGGGCACAGGTGCTGCATCAGCCAGTCATCTCAGTCAGTCGACCCGTGGCACCTGGGTCTGCCCCGTGACCTCCTGCCAGCGGGCGTTCGACACTTCACGTGGCCTCAGGGTGCACATAGCCTGGCACAAGCGTCGTGGTGACGTCACCGCCACTTAGTGGCGAATGGCGGTTGTTGTTGTTGTTGTTGTGTTTGTGTGTCTGTGTGGGTGTGTCTGTGTGGGTGTGTCTGTGTGGGTGTGTTTGTGTGGGTGTTTCTGTGTGTGTGTGTCTGTGTGGGTATGTCTGTGTGGGTGTGTCTGTGTGGGTGTGTCTGTGTGTGTGTGTGTCTTTGTGGGTGTGTCTGTGTGGGTGTGTCTGTGTGGGTGTGTCTGTGTGGGTGTGGGTGTGTCTGTGTGTAGGTGTGTAGGTGTGTCTGTGTAGGTGTGTCTGTGTGTGTGTGGGTGTGTGTGTGTGGGTGTGTCTATGTGTGTGTGTCTGTGTGTGTGTGTGAGTGGCTGGCTGAGGTGCCATCTGTTGAGGAAGTACTGAAGGCGATCCGGAGTCTGAGACCAGGAAAGGCACCGGGCAGAGATGATCTCGCAAGCGAAATGCTGAGGGAGGGTGGCGTTTGTGCACAGACTGCCCTATATGACAACATAACAACAGTCTGGACCACTGGACGGGTTCTGCAAGATGGGAAGGATGCCCTGGTGGTCCCCCTCTTTAAGAAGGGGGACCACACAGACTGTAACAACTACAGGGGCATCTCACTCCTCAGTGTGCCGGGAAAGGTCCTGGCAAGGATTATTCAACATCGCCTTGCTAGGCACGCTGAGGAGAGGCTTGCGGAGCCCCAATGCGGTTTCAGTAAAGGGCGGTCCTGCACAGATTCCATATTTTCTGTCCGTCTGCTACAGCAGAGGTGTAGGGAATTCCAACAAGACCTACATCTGTGCTTTATTGACCTGGTCAAGGCCTATGATACCATCAGTAGGCCTGGGCTCTGGGTTGTTCTTTGTGCTTTCGGAGTCCCTGACCCTCTGCTCACGATCATTAAGGACCTTCATGATGGTGAGCGGGCCCGGGTAAAACTACGTGGCCGGGAATCAGAGCCATTCCCTGTACACTTTGGGGTGCGACAGGGATGCCCTCTGGCTCCCACATTATTGAACATCTATTTTGACCACGTAGTTCATGAAACCTTCAATAGCTGTACTGGGGGAATTTCCATTTGGTACAGATATAATGGGAGGCTGATCGATGCCCGGGTGCAGTCAGGGGACGGCTCCCTATTGCTAAACCACGTTATATATGTTGATTATTTGGTAATAGCTGCTCATTCAGAGGAGGGGTTGGAGACGCTGCTGCTCAGACTGGAGCGTGCCACTAAGAGATGGGGCCTTACCATCAGCCCCACCAAAACTAAGCACCTGCCTGGGTATTTTGTACCATCGGACACTCCACCTCCACAACTCCTAATCGGTAATGGGGCAGTTGTGGAGAGAGTGGAGAGTTTCCCATACCTGGGCAGTGTGCTTATCACCGGCTCCAGTTTAACAGCAGAGGTCTCACTCCGAATCAATCGAGCGGCAATCTCTTTTCATCGGTTGTGTAACGCTGTGTGGAAGCTACCTGGTCTGTCGCTCCGCACTAAGCTTCAAGTCTTCTCGGCCACGGTTATTCCCTCCCTTCTCTACGCTTGCGAAACGGGGACCCCCTTAATGGAGCATCTTCGCTGGTTGGAAACATTTAGGCTGGCCTACCTACGATCAATCCTGGGTTTAACCAGGCTGGATTGTGTGAGGAGCTCACAAATCCTTGAAAGATCTGGACAAGGTCCTGGCTGGCAAGGATGTGTTGGCTGGGTCATGTAACCCGCATGCCCAGCCACCGCATGCCGAAACAGCTTTTGTTTGGCTGGATCGAGGGGACTAAACGGGCGCGGCACGGGCTAGAGAAGAGATGGAGTTGACGTGGTACAGGAGGACGTGGAGCTGAGTGGACTTGCCGATGACTGGTACCAGCGGTGTCAAGATCGGCCTCTGTGGAGGAGGCTCGTGAAGGATGCTACTGGGCAGTTGGAGGCAGTCGCCCTCCAACAACAACGGAGGGCGGAGGAGCGACGCTCACAACAACGAGCGGAGCGCCGGGTGGCTAAAGCACAGCAGGTTGGCACAGTAGGGGGCACAGGTGGTGCATCAGCCGGTCATCTCGGTCATCTCAGTCAGTCGACCCGTGGCACCTGCTGGGTCTGCCCCGTGACCTCCTGGCCGGGGGTCGTTCGACACTCCACACGTGACCTTAACGTGCACCTCGCCTGGCACGAGCCTCGTGGTGACGTCACCGCCGCTGAAGTGGCGAATGGCGGTCGCTGTTCGTTTGTTGTGGTTGCAGGCAGCTGGGCGACACCACGGATCGCTTCATGGTGTCGGTGAACGTGGCGCCGCAGAGCAAAGTGACGCTGCAGCTGGGCTACCAGGAGCTGCTGCGCCGACGCCTCGGACGCTACGAGCTAAAGCTGAGCCTGAGGCCGCGCCAGCTGGCGCACAGCTACAAGGTGAGCGGTGTCTGGTGAGCACCTACAAGGTGAGCGGTGTCTGGTGAGCACCTGCAAGGTGAGCGGTGTCTGGTGAGCACCTACAAGGTGAGCGGTGTCTGGTGAGCACCTATAAGGTGAGCGGTGTCTGACGCGCACCTTGTGAGTTACAAGCAGAGCGTTGTCGCGTGGGGGGGGAGTGAGTTGGTGGTGGGTGGGTGGGGTGAGCGGATGGATGAGTAAGCAGGTGGATGGGTAGGTGAGTGGGTGAGTGAGTGAGTGAGTGGGTGAGTGGGTGGATGGATGAATACGTCGGTGGGTAAATGAGCGGTTGGGCGAGTGGGTGCGTGAGCGAGCGGGTGGGTGGGTTGGTCGGTGGGTGTTTGAGTGGGTAGCTGGATAGGTGAGTGAGTGGGTGGGTGGGTTAGTGGATGGATGGGTGAGTGAGTGGGTGGGTTGGTGCGTGAGTGGGTGGATGGACATGTGGCTAAGTGAGTGAGTGGGTGAGTGGATGTATGAGTGGGCGGGTGAGTGACTGAGTGAGCGAGTGCGCGAGCGGCTGAGCGAGTGGCTGAGTGACTGAGTGAGCGAGTGGGTGAGTGGCTGAGCGAGTGGCTCAGTGAGCGAGTGGGTGATTGGCTTAGTGAGCAAGGGAGCAGGACTCTCACCACGCCGCACGTCTCTCTCGAGGTGGACGTTCACATCTACGAGCCGCAGGGCCTGCGCTTCGTGGACGTGGCGCCGTTCCAATCGTCCCAAGCCGTCAACATCACCAAGGGGGAGCACAAGGTGACCCCGCCCGACCCCCTACCCGACCTATGACCCCACCTGACCCCTGCCTGATCGTGACCCTGACCTGTATAACATCCAACAATAACTCCGGAGGTATTTCATGGGTGTGCTGCTACTGCCGCTGAGTGCATTGGCGTGTCGCCGCTTGTCTCCACGCGTCTCGGCCTCGCTGTGCGCTGCGTTGCACCACTATCCGAGTAGTTCACCTCGCATTCAATAAACCTTCAGAGCCAGGGTGAACATCCAACTCCAACGTATTTAATGAATAGAACGAGATAAAACCGATGGAAAAACACAGCACAGCATACAGCATCTGTTAATACTTCGACACAATGAAATGAACACTGCAGCATCATAACATTGTTTTAGATAACATGAATCTCAAAAATAGATCCTGGATGGACCAGGCACTTACATTAGCACAAGGCACCTACATACTTCTTCATCCTTGCTCTCAAGATCTCATGAAAGCTACATGGCCACAAGTCTGGCTCTACTTATCCAACTACAAGTAACATTCACAATAATGCAAGCGGCAGGCATCGTTGTTATCTAGGCCTCATATTTATCATAACAATTTAACAGCATTATAAAGGCATTTACAGCATCATAACGGCAATCCTAACATTGTAACAGCATTCCCAGTATTATAAGAACATAAACGAACTTACAGACAATGCTTCTGAACAGATGCATCCGCCTTCACTGAGACACTTATTGTGCCTCCATTTTGTATTCTGTGTAATGGCTGACACCCCTGCCTCGTGGCTTAGAGAACCTTAAATCGTAACTTCCCGGTCACGTGACCAAACTCAACACCATATCAGGAAGTTCCCGTGTAAACACTCCCCCCCATATCTGCCGTGGGGGCAGAACACCACGTGTCACTGCGTCGCTATGTCCTCGCGTTTGCGCCCGCGGTGTGCGCCGCAGGCCCACGTGTCGTTCCACCCGGCGCTGTCGGAGCAGCGGCGCTGCCCGTCGTGCCTGCAGACGCGGTTCGACGGGGACCTCGTGGTGCTCTATGACGTGCACCACGACGCAAGCACCTTGCAGGCGAGTCGCGGGCACCACGTGGCTCAGCGCCCACCCACCTGGCCACCCGCTCGACCGCCCACCAAACCATTGACCCACCCACCTGACAAGCCACTAAACCGCCCACCCACCCATGCTCCTTTCCTACCAAGCCATACACCCGCAAAACCACTCGCTCGATCATCCACCCAACGTAACAATCCACAAACCCGCTCACTCATCTACCTACCTACCTACCGACCCACCCAACTCTCCACCCACGTATACACTTGCCCGCTCACCCACCTACTCACCGATCCACCCTCCCATTCACCACGATAACCCACTCCCCCATCCACTCACTCAGTTACGCACTCACCCAACCACTCACTCACCCACTCACTCACTGAACCACTCATTCACCAAGCCACCCACTCACCCAACCACTCACTCACCCACTCACTCACCCAACCACTCGTTAACCCATTCCATTCACACCCAACCACTCATTCACCAAGCCAACCACCCACCCAAGCCACTCGCTCACTCAGTAACCAGTCCGCCCGCTCACCCGCCCGCTCACTCACCAGCTCACCCGCCAGCTCACCCGCCCGCTCACCCGCCAGCTCACCCGCCAGCTCACCCGCCAGCTCACCCACCCGCTCACCCACCAGCTCACTCGCCAGCTCACCCGCCCGCTCACCCGCCCGCTCACCCGCCTGCTCACCCGCCAGCTCACCCGCCCGCTCACACGCCCGCTCACCCACCCGCTCACCCACCAGCTCACCCGCCCGCTCACCCACCCGCTAACCCACCAGCTCACCCGCCCGCTCACACGCCCGCTCACCCACCAGCTCACCCGCCAGTTCACCCGCCCGCTCACCCGCCAGCTCACCCGCCAGCTCACCCGCAAGCTCACCCACCCGCTCACCCGCCCGCTCACATGCCCGCTCACCCACCCGCTCACCCGCCAGCTCACCCGCCCGCTCACCCGCCAGCTCACCCGCCAGCTCACCCGCCCGCTCACCCGCGCGCCCGCTCACCCGCGCGTGTCTCCAGATCGTCAACGGCTACTTTGTGCACTACTTCGCCCCCGCCAACCTGAGCCCCCTGGCCAAGAACATCGTCTTCATCATCGACGTGAGCAGCTCCATGTGGGGCACGAAGCTGAAGCAGGTGAGCCCTGGCAGGAGGAGACGGGGCTGGGGGGGGGAGGGGGGCGAGGGTGACGAGGCAGATTGGTCACGTGCAGTCCGTAGTTCGTCGTCAACGCCGTCGGCCGAGTCGACCCCATCGCGGCGGATCCTCCTCCTCGGTGGACTCGGCCCTTGCACCGAGTGAGCCCGGTGCGGCGGTGAACAAACAGAAACAACAACATTTGGCGTCCTCTGGTCTGACGCCGTTCTGAGACGAGGCTCCGGTGTGGACCAATCAGTTTCAAAGACAGTGGATATATCGTATCAGAGTGTGCTTTTTTTGTTTGCATTTTGACCACGAGTATATTGCGGTCAACGCAGTAACATGATTCCTCGCAAAAGGCTTCGGTTTGGTGTTTCAACATCTGAACGCAGCCGTTTTGTCGCCAGATAAAATCGGGGAAACGTCTTCTCATATTTGGCGGGGGGGGGGGGTGGGGGTGGGGGTTTGGGGGAGATGAACGTTCGGGCCGGACCGCTTCCCCGCGGCCTTCACAGGGGCCCACTTGCGCCGGGCTCGCAAGAGATCCTTGTCGCGAGGCTGCCGATGTAGACGCAGAGCGGTGGCGAGCGACGCGTCACACGCATCCAGGGTGGGGGAAGCCGTAGGTCAACCGCGTCAGGGGCAAGCCGGGTGGTGGAGCGTCATCGTCGGCGTCATCGTCATAGTCATCATCATCGCCATCGTCATTGTAATCGTCATCGCCATCGTCATCATCATCATCGTCATCATCATCGTCATCATCATCGTCATCATCATCGTCATTGTCATCATCATCATCGTCATCATCATCGTCATCATCATCATCATCGCCATTATCATCATCGCCATCATCGCCATCATCGTCATCATCATCGTCATCGCCGCGACGCCTCCTCCGTATAGTGCAGATCGGGGCATCGCCATCGCTGTGTGTTGCACCGCGCTCTGTTGTGGATGCTGCCACTCCTGCTGCAGACGACCGCTGGTGTTGTGATCTAAATGTCGTAGCTTCTATTTCATTCACTTTAATATTTCCTATCCGCGTGACTTTACCGAAAGAGCCAAAGAATGTGAATTCCTGCAGTCGCGACAGTTTTAAGTCGCGATTTACAATCCTTGCTAGTTGGCTGTGTCTGGTGGTGGCGGGTTTAGCGGCACATTTATACATTTACGCGATCTAAACCACAAATAAACCTCTATTATGGATGATATTGGTCGCTAAAGACTCCCCCCCCCACGTGTTAAACTACTACGGGAGACTTACGGGGCTACACCGAGGTGGTGGTGTGAGTGGTGATGTGGGTGGTGGTGTGGGTGGTGGTGTGGGTGGTGGTGTGGGTGGTGGTGTGGGTGGTGTGGGTGGTGGTGTGGGTGGTGTGGGTGGTGGTGTGGGTGGTGGTGTGGGTGGTGGTGTGGGTGGTGATGTGGGTGGTGTGGGTGGTGGTGTGGGTGGTGGTGTGGGTGGTGGGGGGTTGTAGCGGTTAGCGCTACGCTGCGCTATGAACCTGGTAAACCCGAGTTCGATTCCCGCTCACGGCCAACACCGGTGACGATTATCTGAACCGGTCCTGCGCCTCGCCTAGGTCGACTCAGCCTCAAACGAGTCACTTGCTGCGGTGCGTAGTAAACATCGCCGCCGGGGGGAGACAGAGGCGGCCGGGCGTGGTTGCTGGCCACCCACCTCCCTCGCGCGCCCGTGCCGGCCTTCGTAGGTGCTGCTCGCTAACAGCGCTTGCCCCTACCGCGCGTCCTGTGCAGACGAAGGAAGCCCTGCACGAGATCCTGGCTCAGCTGCGTCCCGACGACCACTTCGGCCTCATCGAGTTCAGCTCCACGTCCCAAGCCTGGCGCGAATCCATGCTGCCCGCCTCTCCGGCCAACGTGCAGCTCGCCCAGGAGTTCGCGGCCACGCTCAGAGCCCAGGGAGGTAAACGGCGGCAGGGGCGAAGCTGACGGCCCGGCGAGGCAGTGGGGCTTGTCGCGGCGAAATGTCGCCACCGCCGGGAGAGAGAGAGAGACACACACAGCAGCAGCAGCAGTAGCAGGCATCGTCAGGGTCGGGATGGAACCCACGACCTCCTGTACACCAGGCGAGGTAGTTAACATCTCATAGCCACCGTGATGATGATGATAAGAGAGAGAGACACGCGCACACAGCAGCAGCAGGCATCGTCAGGGTCGGGATGGAACCCACGACCTCCTGTAGACCAGACGAGGTAGTTAACATCTCATAGCCACCGTGATGATGATGATAAGAGAGAGAGAGAGACGCAGACTCCAAATGTACAGCAGCAGCAGGCATCGTTACGGTCGGGATGGAACCCACGACCTCCTGTACACCAGGCGAGGTAGTTAACATCTCCTAGCCACCGTGATGATGATGTTACCTACCTCGCTCCTGGGCTCGGCAAGCCCCTGGCACGCCGTGCAATCTGCTGGACACCTGTGGATTAAAGAGCTTCTTAGCTCGTCGGATTCCTCCCGCGGTATAAATGCGGATTGCGATTCCAAAACAAAATATTCCTCATCGCCGGCTCGGGCGGTTCAGGGCGCCGGGCGCTGGCACCTCGCGTGCTGTGCCAACCATCGTAGGCACGGCTCGCGAACAGCACTTGCCCCGTCAGCCCATGTAGGCTACACGTGTCACCGTGTCACTAACACGTGTCACCCTGTCACTAACACGTGTCACCGTGTCACTAACACGTGTCGCCCTGCCACTAACACGTGTCACCCTGTCACTAACACGTGTCACCCTGTCACAGGGTGTCACCGTGTCACTAACACGTGTCACCCTGTCACTAACATGTGTCACCCTGTCACTAACACGTGTCACCCTGTCACAGGGTGTCACCGTGTCACTAACACGTGTCACCCTGTTACTAACACGTGTCACCGTGTCACTAACACGTGTCACCCTGTCACTAACACGTGTCACCGTGTCACTAACACGTGTCACGTTGTCACTAACACATGACACTAACACGTGTCACCTTGTCATTAACACGTGTCACTCTGTCACAGGGTGTCACCCTGTCACTAACACGTGTCACCGTGTCACTAACACGTGTCACCCTGCCACTAACACGTGTCACCCTGTCACAGGGTGTCACCGTGTCACTAACACGTGTCGCCCTGTCACTAACACGTGTCACCGTGTCACTAACACGTGTCACCCTGCCACTAACACGTGTTACCGTGTCACTAACACGTGTCACCGTGTCACGTGTCACCGTGTCACTAACACGTGTCACCGTGTCACTAACACGTGTCACCCTGTTCACGTGTCACCGTGTCACTAACACGTGTCACTCTGTCACGAATACGTGTCACCGTGTCACTAATACGTGTCACCGTATCACTAACACGTGTCACCGTGTCACTAACACGTGTCACCGTGTCGCTGACACGTGTCACCGTGTCACTAACACGTGTCACCGTGTCACAGGTTGTCACTGTGTCACTAATACGTGTCACCGTGTCACTAACACGTGTCACCGTGTCACTAACACGTGTCACCGTGTCACTAACACGTGTCACTAACACGTGTCACCGTGTCACTAACACGTGTCACCCTGCCACTAACACGTGTCACTAACACGTGTCACTAACACGTGTCACTAACACGTGTCACCGTGTCACTAACACGTGCCACTAACACGTGTCACCCTGCCACTAACAGGTATCACCCTGTCACTAACACGTCACCGTGTCACTGACACGTGTCACCGTGTCACTAACACGTGTCACCCTGTTCACGTGTCACCGTGTCACTAACACGTGTCACCCTGTTCACGTGTCACCGTGTCACTAACACGTGTCACCGTGTCACTAACACGTGTCACCCTATCCCTAACACGTGTCACCGTGTCACTAACACGTGTCACCGTGTAACTAACAGGTGTCACTAACACGTGTCACCGTGTCACTAACACATATCACCGTGTCACTAACACGTGTCACCGTGTCACTAACACGTGTCACCGTGTCACCATGTCACTATCACGTGTCACCGTGTCACTAACATGTGGCACTAACACGTGTCACCGTGTCACTAACACGTGTCACCGTGTCACCGTGTCACTAACACGTGTCACCGTGTCACTAACACGTGTCACCGTGTCACTAACACGTGTCACCGTGTCACCAACACGTGTCACTAACACGTGTCACCGTGTCACTAGCACGTGTCACTAACACGTGTCACCGTGTCACTAACACGTGTCACTAACACGTGTCACCGTGTCACTAACACGTGTCACCGTGTCACTAACACGTGTCACTAACACGTGTCACCCCGTCACCGCAGCCACGAACATCAACGACGCGGTGCTGGCAGGCAGCGCCATGCTGCGGCGAGCACATCGAGACGAGACTCTGCCACGCAACTCGTGTCACCGTGTCACTAACACGTGTCACTAACACGTGTCACCATGTCACCGTGTCACTAACACGTGTCACCGTGTCACCGTGTCACCGTGTCACTAACACGTGTCACTAACACATGTCACCGTGTCACTAACACGTGTCACCCTGTCACTAACACGTGTCACTAACACGTGTCACCCCGTCACCGCAGCCACGAACATCAACGACGCGGTGCTGGCAGGCAGCGCCATGCTGCGGCGAGCACATCGAGACGAGACTCTGCCACGCAACTCGGCGTCGCTCATCGTCCTGCTCACCGACGGGGACCCCACAGTCGGTGAGGCGCCGTGAGCTCACCCAACCTCACCCAACCTCACCCACCCTCACCCAACCTCACCCAACCTCACCCAACCTCACCAACCTCACCCACCCTCACCAGTCCTCACCCAACCTCACCAGTCCTCACCCAACCTCACCCACCCTCACCCAACCTCACCCACCCTCACCCAACCTCACCAGTCCTCACCCAACCTCACCCAAACCTCACCCGGACTCACCCACCCTCACCCAACCTCACCCAACCTCACCCACCCTCACCCAACCTCACCCAACCTCACTCAACCTCACCCGTCCTCACCAGTCCTCACCAGTCCTCACCAACCTCACCCGTCCTCACCCAACCTCACCCAACCTCACCCAACCTCACCCGTCCTCACCAACCTCACCCAACCTCACCAACCTCACCAGTCCTCACCCGTCCTCACCCGTCCTCACCCAACCTCACCCAACCTCACCCGTCCTCACCCAACCTCACCCGTCCTAACCCGTCCTCACCCAACCTCACCAACCTCACCCAACCTCACCCGTCCTCACCCAACCTCACCCAACCTCACCCGTCCTCACCCAACCTCACCCAACCTCACCCAACCTCACTTGACATACCCTGATGCGTCCTCACTCGACCTGAACCTACCTGAATCTTCCTCCCTGCAACGCGACCCGACCTCAGCTGACCCCAACTCACCCGACTGTGTGACCTCAGCCGACCCCTACCCATCCGACTGTGTGACCTCAGCTGACCCCTACCCACCCGACCGTGTGACCTCAGCTGACCCCTACCCACCCGACTGTGTGACCTCAGCTGACCCCTACCCACCCGACTGTGTGACCTCAGCTGACCCCTACCCACCCGACCGTGTGACCTCAGCTGACCCCTACCCACCCGACCGTGTGACCTCAGCTGACCCCTACCCACCCGACTGTGTGACCTCAGCTGACCCCTACCCACCCGACTGTGTGACCTCAGCTGACCCCTACCCACCCGACCGTGTGACCCGAGCTGACCCTACACCGTGTCGCGGTTGTCGCGGTGACCCCGTGTGGCGGTGACCCCGCGTGGCGGTGACCCCGCGTGGCGGTGACCCCGTGTGGCGGTGCGGTGGTGCTGCAGGAGTGAGGGACCTGGGGCAGATCCGAGACAACGTGCGCATGGCGCTGGCTGGGGAGGCGTCTCTCTTCTGCCTGGGGTTCGGCCAGTACCTGGACTACAACTTCCTGGAGCGCATGGCGCTCGAGAACGGAGGCCTGGCGCGGCGCATCTACGAGAACGCCGACGCTCCGCTGCAGCTGCAGGCGAGAGTCGGCCGCACGGCCATCGCGACTCTCATCTGTTCCCGCGCACGATGAAGGCGGCGGCGGCGGCGATGTGGTTCACCGTCTGAATGTAAATGTTGGAGCTGCTGCCGCTGCTGCTGTCACCACGAGAGAGAGGGGGAGAGGGCATCAGCAGTGAGAGAGAGAGTTCGCGTCGTGTCGCTGTTCCTTCTCATCGTCCTCCTTCGTTGAAGCAGCGCAGGCCGCGGCGGTTTTACGTTCCAGCGTCGCCCCGTTCCTCCGTCACGGATCGCATCGCCACCCGTCATCGCCATCGCCATCGCATCGCCGCCCGTCATCGCCATCGCATCGCCCGTCATCGCCATCGCATCGCCCGTCATCGCCATCGCATCGCTGCCGTCATCGCCATCGCCGCTGTCGTTCCGCGGCCGGGATTTTCCGCGCGCCCGGAGAATCTTTTTTTTATCGATCGGTTCGATGGCCCGCGGCTCGGCGTCTCCGGCGGGGCGTTTTGTTCGCTTGGCCTCCCACACCGCGGGGAGCTTTTCGCCCCCGACAACAATCGGCGTCGCGGGAGCCGCTCAACCCGTGCCCTCGGTGGAAACTCACCCCTTGGAACTGGGCCGTTACCCCCACGCCCGCAACACGCGCACCCCCCCCCCCCACCGCCTCGTCCTGTCCGTGCACCCCGGGCCGGCTCTTGCTTACGTCCCTGGCCTCTTCCGTATGCGGCGCATTGGTGGCGCGGACTCACAGGTGAAACACGGCGCCTTGCGAACGTAAATCGCCGCCGCCGCCGCCGTCGTCGCCGCCGTGAGTCGTGAGTCACCAACGTCGCGAGAAGGGAAGCTCGGCGGCCTCGCGGTAGACCCCGCGCGGCCTCGCGGTAGACCCCGCGCGGCCTCGCGGTAGGCCCCGCGCGGCCACGCGCCGCTTTGCCGCGCGGGGCCCTCGCCCGTGAACGGCCCTCGCCGCGGACGGCCCTCGGCCTGTCGAGGCCTCCTAAGCGGGGTCTGGATCTTTTGTCTCCGCCGCGGGCGCCCAGGGCTTCTACCAGGAGGTGGCGACGCCGCTGCTGGCGCGGCTCCACGTGAGCTACCCGCCCGGGGCGGTGAGCGACGTCACGCGCACCGACTTCGACAACTTCTTCGATGGCACGGAGATCGTGGTGGCCGGGCGCCTCGCCGACAACAGCCTGCAGGCGCTCGGCGCCACCGTGGAGGCCCGCGCGGTCAGCGCCCCCCCCCCTCCACCCTACCCCCCTTGTCCCCCACCACCCACCCCGTGACCCCTGACCATCGCCCTTCGACCCTTTCAAGCCGTGACGCGCACGCCCCTCGAGCCCCGAGCCTTTCGCCTCCTCCGTCCTTGACCCTTGACCCTCGACTCCCTGACCCTCGACCCTGACGCTTGCCTCCCTGACTCCTTGACTCTCTTCTCCATTGCCACCCCCCCCCCTTTCACCCTTTTTGACCTCCGGCCCCTTGACCCCTTGGCCCCGTCGGGTCGCCCTGACCCCGGCGTTCCCACTGTACCCCCCGCGGTGTCCAATTGACACCTGCAACCCTCCCACCCCCGCGTCAATTCTAACCCCCACGATCCCTGACACCCTTCACATCACGCTAACCCTTGCGACCCCTCCCCCCCCACTCCGCCACCCGTTGCGCAGGAGGCCGGTGACCTGACGCTGACCAAGGAGACCCCCACGCAGAGGCAGACCTCCCCGGACGACCGCACCAAGTTCATCTTCGGGGAGTTCACCGAGCGGCTGTGGGCCTACCTCACCATCAAGCACCTGCTGGAGCGCAGGTGAGCGCCAAACGCCCAGCTCGCTCACCCCGCTCGCTCACCCATCCGCTCGCTCACCCATCCGCTCGCTCACCCATCCACTCGCCCGCCCACCCACCCATCCGCTCGCCCGCCCACCCATCCGCTCGCCCACCCACCCATCCGCTCGCCCACCCACCCATCCGCTCGCTCACCCATCCGCTCGCCCGCCCACCCATCCGCTCGCTTACCCATCCACTCGCTCGCCCGCCCACCCATCCGCTCGCCCGCCCACCCATCCGCTCGCCCGCCCACCCATCCGCTCGCTCACCCATCCACTCGCTCGCCCGCCCACCCATCCGCTCGCCCGCCCACCCATCCGCTCGCCCGCCCACCCATCCGCTCGCCCACTCACCCTGCCGCGTGCCAGGAGCATCACCCAGGACGAGGAGGAGAAGGGGAACGCCACGGCACGGGCGCTGGAGCTGTCGCTGAAGTACGGCTTCGTGACCCCTCTCACATCCATGGTCATCACCAAACCCCCTCGGCCTCGCAAGCAGGGTACGGGGGGACACGGGGTGACACGGGGGGGGGGGGGCACGGAGCGTCACGGGGCAGAGGGCTCGACAGGCGGGGACGCGTGGGGACGGAGGGGGTGAGGGTGGTAGCAGCGTTGGCTGTGCTCGCCGGCTTTTCCTCCCTTCTCTCTGCAGCGCCTACTGCCAAGAAACTTGAAAAAAACTCAGCCAAGCGTCCAAGCACCTTCGGTAAAGCTCCCACCACCACCACCACGACCACCACAACCACTACCACTACAACCACCACTACGACCACGACCACCACCACCACAATCACAACCACCACGACCACAACCACATACACAATCACTACCACCACAACCACTACTACCACCACCATCACCACCACGACCACCACCACCACCACTACCACGACAACCGCCACCACCACGACCACAAAAACAACCACCACCACGACCACCACAATCACAACCACCACCACTACAACCACCACCAACACGTGTCACGTGTGTGTGTGTGTGTCACCGTGTGTGTGTGTCACGTGTGTGTGTGTGTGTGTCACGTGTGTGTGTGTGTCACGTGTGTGTGTGTGTCACGCTGTGTGTGTGTGTCACCGTGTGTGTGTGTCACCGTGTGTGTGTGTCACGTGTGTGTGTGTGTGTCACGTGTGTGTGTGCGCGTCGCTTATTAGTGGACAATGACCCGCACGTGGTGGTGGAGCTGCCCGGGCAGCAGCAGAAGATTTGCTTCAACATCGACGAGGAGCCGGGCACGATCGTCAACCTCATCGACGACCCCACCAACGGTGACCCCCCCACCACCACCGCCCCCCCCCACTACCACCCACCACCGCCCCCCCCACCACCCACGTGGGCACTGCGAGTGTGTGGTGGTGGTGGTGGTGACGTCGGCACTGCGAGTGTGTGGTGGTGGTGACGTTGGCACTGCGTGTGTGGTGGTGGTGACGTTGGCACTGCGTGTGTGGTGGTGGTGGTGACGTTGGCACTGCGAGTGTGTGGTGGTGGTGACGTTGGCACTGCGAGTGTGTGGTGGTGGTGGTGACGTCGGCACTGCGCGTGCGTGACGTCGGCACTGCGCGTGTGTGGTGGTGGTGGTGGTGACGTCGGCACTGCGTGGGCGTGACGTCGGCACTGCGTGTGTGGTGGTGGTGGTGACATCGGCACTGTGTGTGTGACGTCGTTGGCACTGTGTGTGTGTGACGTTGGTGGCACTGTGTGTGTGTGATGTTGGTGGCACTGCGTGCGTGTGACGTTGGTGGCACTGCGTGTGTGTGACGTTGGTGGCACTGCGCGTGCGTGACGTCGGCACTGCGTGTGTGTGGTGGTGGTGGTGGTGACGTCGACACTGCGTGTGTGTGACGTTGGTGGCACTGTGTGTGTGTGACGTTGGTGGCACTGTGTGTGTGTGACGTTGGTGGCACTGCGTGTGTGTGACGTTGGTGGCACTGCGTGTGCGTGACGTGGGGCAGGGCTGGCGGTGGACACCGAGCTGGTGGCGGCGAAGCGCGCCGACGAGCGCACGCACAAGATGGCCACCTACTTCGGGCGCGTGGGCGTCCGCGTGGGGGCGGCCGGCGTGCGGCTGGAGGCCACGACGGAGGCCGTGCGACTCACGGACGCCCACGGCTCCACGAGCCTGCCCTGGGGCGGGAACATCACACTCGAGAGGGTCGGGTGTGTACGCGTGTTCGTGTGTACGTGTGTTTGTGTGTACGTGTGTTCGTGTGTACGTGTGTTTGTGTGTACATGTGTTCGTGTGTACGTGTGTTTGTGTGTACGTGTGTTTGTGTGTACGTGTGTTCGTGTGTACGTGTGTTTGTGTGTACGTGTGTACGTGTGTTTGTGTGTACGTGTGTTTGTGTGTACGTGTGTTCGTGTGTTCGTGTGTACGTGTGTTTGTGTGTACGCACGTGCGCGCGTGCATGAGTGTACGTGTTTGTGTACGTATGCGTGTGTGCGTGTGTGCGTGTGTTTGCGATGCGTGTACCTGCGTATGTGTGAACGCGTGTGTGCGCGTATGCGTGCGTAGGTATGTGCACGCACGCGTGTGCATGTTGAACTTCTTTCACGCCGTACGTAACCACCCGTGCTGATCGAAGGCGCACGCGTGTCTATAGGTGCTCGCTGACAGCACTTGCCCTAACAGTCTGTTGAAGGCTATATGGGGGGGGGTTGTTGCGTATGGGGAGCGGTGGCGCCTTGGTTAGCACGGGGCTGCTGTGCTACGAACCCGGTGACCCGAGGTTCGATTCCCGCTCGCACGGCCAACACCAGTTCACGATGAATCTGAACCGGTCCTGGAGGACTCCCCTAGGTCGACTCGGCCTCAAATGAGCACCTGGTTCCGTTGCGTGTTAATACGGTGGTAAGTATGTTGAGCTTTCCACCCCCATGTGCGTCGTGCTCACGAACACCGGTGAGAGTGGGGGTGGGGGATTGGGGGGGATTGGGGGGCCCTGGCCCCCCGCGTCTGCGGTGACGCTCACGTCCCCCCCCCCACCCCGCCCGCCCGCCCATCCGCCGGCGCTGTGCCCAGTCTCACGCTGAAGATGGCGCCGCGTGGCCGCTACCTCGAGGTGCTGGAGCTGCGGCTGCCCACCGGCACGCTCCTGAGCGTGCGGCTGCACCGCGTGTGGCCGGGACACCCGGAGCACCGCGACTACCTCGGGGTCTACGTCGCCGACCCCGGCCGACTCTCTCCCAGCACGCACGGCCTGCTGGGTAACCACACCTGCTGCCCCCCCCTCCCCTCCTCTAAATTACGCACGGCATTCTGGGTAACCACACCTGCTGCCCCTCCCCTCCCCTAAAGTACGCACGGCATTCTGGGTAACCACACCTGCTGCCCCCCCCTCCCCTCCCCTAAAGTACGCACGGCATTCTGGGTAACCGCACCTCCAACTTCCACCACCTGCTGCCGCCCCCCCCTCCCCCTTCCTGTGAAGTGCGCACGACATTCTGGGTAACGGCTCCATCCATCTCCTCGCCCTTATTAGCCATAAGTGCAATGTACCAATGTGCCGTGAACATCGTTCCACGTGCCTTGTACCACGTGCTGCGTAGGGCATTGTCCTTGTACATCGCACCGTGTGCGTCGTTCCGTGTCCGTGTTTCCATGGCGACCCCCTAGGTCAGTTCCTGGTGGAGGAGCCCGAGCTGAAGGTGTGGGGGGAGCATCCGGGCCTGGACCCCAACACGGTGGACGCCTACATGCAGGTCAAGGGTCACACGTTGACCGTCACCAGGTGCCGCCCCCCCCCAAGCCTCACCTCCTTCACCCTCCTCTAAACCTTGACATCACAGCGACGTCGGTGACAGCGAGAGGCGCTCGCCGGCCCACCTGTGCCACGACCGGCCGACGCTACGGCGGCACTTTGTAAACGTCGCCACCGGGGAGACAAAGGCGGTCGGGCGTGATCACGCTGGCCACCAACCCCCTCGCCTGCCGTGCCGGCCTTCGTAGGTGCAGCTCGCTAGCGGCATTTGCCCCGACAGTCTGTTACGGGCAACGCGGGGGATCCTTGTGCGTGCACGCATGCGTCTCCACGTGCGTGCGTGTCTGCGTCATGCGCGCGTGTCTCCGCACGTGCGCGTTTCTCCACACGTGTCTGGGTGTATGCGCGTCTGAGTCTGCATGCTTGTCCACGTGCGATGCGTGTCCCTGCGTCCATGCGTCTCAATTGTGCGCGGGTATTTTCGCATATCTTCATGTGCGTGCGTGTCTCCGTGTGTGTCTCCACGTGCGTGCGTGCCTCCGTGCGTGCCTCCGTGTGTGTCTCCGTGCGTGTCTCCGTGTGTGTCTCCACGTGCGTGCGTGCCTCCGTGTGTGTCTCTGTGTGTGTCTTCGTGTGTGTCTCCACGTGCATGCGTGCCTCTGTGTGTCTCCACGTGCGTGCGTGTCTCCGTGTGTGTCTCCACGTGCGTGCGTGCCTCCGTGCCTGTTTTCGTGTGTGTCTCCACGTGCGTGTGTCTCTACATGCGTGCATGTCTCCGCGTATCTCCGCTTATCTCTGTGTGCATCTCCACATGCGTGCGTGCCCCCCCGTGCGTGTCTCTCGCGCGTGTCTCCGTCTGTTTCTCCGCGTGCGAGTGTGTCTCTCGTGTGTGTCTCCACGCGTGTCCCCACGTGCGTGCGTGTCTCCGTGCGTGTCTCTGTGTGTGTCCCCGCGTGCGTGCGTGTCTCTGTCTGTGTCCCCACGTGTGCGCGTGTCTCCGTGCATGTCTCCGCGTATCTCCGCTTTTCTCTGCGTGTGCCCCCACGTGCGTGCGTGTCTCCGCGTGTGTCTCCATGTGTGTCTCCACGTGCGCGCGTGTCTCTCGTGCGTGTCTCTCGTGCGTGTCTCTCGTGCGTGTCTCCGCGTGTGTCTCCACGTGTGTCCCCACGTGCGAGCGTCTCTCGTGCGTGTCTCTCGTGCGTGTCTCTCGTGCGTGTCTCTCGTGCGTGTCTCTCGTGCGTGTCTCTCGTGCGTGTCTCCGTCTGTGTCTCCGCGTGCGAGCGTGTCTCTCGTGCGTGTCTCTCGCGCGTGTCTCCGCGTGCGGCAGGGGCGAGCGCGAGGACCCCACGGGTGCGCGGAACGTGTCCTGCTGGTTTGTCCACCACCACGGCGCGGGTTTCATCGACGGGCGGCACGCCGACTACGTCGTCCCCGACATCTTCAGCTTCCTGGGTCGGGCTCTCCTCGGGGCCTAAGGGGGTGCTGTGGGGTCGCGGCGGGGCCACGCACAGGGGTCGCGAGGTCAACCGACGACCACGAACGGAGGCCGCCCGCGTCTCGGCGGGGTTAACGCCGAGGCACGGGTCGGGGTCACGGGGTCACGGGGTTACGGTGAGCGGCGAGGCTCGGGGGACAGCAATGGGGGCGGGGGGGGGGGGTAGGGAAAGGTGATTCGGAAGTTAGCTCAGGAGGGCTCCCGAAGGAGCTAGTTGGTAGGAGCGAGGGATAAAGGTCGAGGTTAGGCTGAAGGTCAAGAGGTCGTCACGGCCAATGCTGTCGCTGCACGGTGCGGGGTTGGCCGGGATCCCCACGTGGGCCACGTTTCCCCGCTTGTGACGCGCTGTGCCACGAGGCTGTGTTCTATCAAACACGTTCATTGTTATTCGTGAACGTTACGTTACCTTTAATTAAAGCGGCCGAGAGCCCAATGAGAGAGTGGTGGTGATTGTGGTGGTGATTGTGGTGGTGATTGTGGTGGCGGTTGATGTTGGTGTTTATAGTGGCGGTGGTGGCAAGTTGGCACAGTAGGGGGCACAGGCGGTGCATCGGCCAGTCATCTCAGTCATCTCAGTCGGTCGACCCGTGGCACCACCTGGGTCTGGCCCGTGACCTCCTGCCAGCGGGCGTTCGTCACTTCGCGTGGCCTCAACGTGCACATAGCCTGGCACGTGCGCCGTGGTGACGTCGCCGTGGTTGTCGGTGGCAGTAGAGGTGGCGCGTGGCACCGGTGGCACCGGTGGTACCGGTGGATGGTGGCGGTCGACGTTGGCGTTACCCGTGGTGACGGCGGCGGAGGTGACGGCGGCGGTGATTCGCGGCGGCCACCGTGAGACCACCCCCCTCCCCCTCTGCACGTTGTGACGTCACAACGCCGGACACACGACGTCACCTGCAATGCGTTGTGACGTCGCACCACCGTATACACGAACGTCACCTGCAATTACGTCATCACGTCACGCACCACCGACTGCGAACACGACGCGCCCCCCCCCCCCCCGCCGGCTCATCTTGCGCGATGACGTCAGGGCGTCCTTGCGCGCCGATGACGTCGTCACGCAGTCGAATCGACGTCACGCGACATGGGGCTCACAATGATGGTATTGTGCCATCTGGTGGTAAGCTGCACACGCTGCACACATCTTACTAAACTAAAACAATTGTATATCTCCATATATGCAACAAACTTGAAACTTGCCATGTGGGTACTTTCCAGACTGTACACCATGCAAACATTATACAAAGACACTTTTTTTTTAGGGTGGGGGAGGAGCTCAATAATGCATTTATTTTACACGGCAAGTGAGCTGTGACGTCACGTCTGTCACGTGACCCGCGCACGTGAAAGCGTAACGCATTGTGGCGTAGCGGTTAGCGCTACACCGCGCTACGAACCCGGCGTCCCGAGTTCGATTCCCGCCCACGGCCACCACCGGTGACGATTATTTCAACCGCTCCTGGGCCTCCCCTAGGTCGACTCAGCCTCAAACGAGTAACTGCTCTGCTGCTGTGTGAACGTCGCCACTGGGGAGACAAAGGCGGCCGGGCGTCGTGAATCCAAGATCCCGGGCGAAGCCGGGTAGTTACAGCTAGTATCGTATAAAACAATTGCGTGTACCGGGTGAATGCCCACTGAGCTATGCAACTCTTGTTCAGAAGCGACTTGATAGCTCAACGAAGTGGGGATTATAGCAGCAGCCCAAACACTCTGAACGCGTGATCCCCGACTCTCAATGTGGAGGTTAAAAAACAAAAGTTGGAGTACCCGGAGAAAAATCCACGCGACCACGGGGAGAGAGACGCCGCAAAACTCCAAACATACAACAGCAGCAGCAGGCGTCTGGGTCAGGATCGAACCCACGACCTCCTGCGTGCCAGGCGAGGTAGTTAACAGCTGGGCATTGATTCGGAGTGATTGAGATGAGAGGGACGCGCTTGGACTGCGAATCGTCATTTTTGCGTAACAGCGCCCAATGCACGCGCCGCTCTTGTGCAAATTTGCGTGACATTCTCTCATCGCCCCCATCACCCCCATCACCGCCCCCATTACTCCCATCACCACCATCCCCGCCCCCATCATCGCCCCCATCACCACCATTACCCCCATCGCCGCCATCACCCCCATTACCGCCACCACCCCCATTACCGCCATCACCCCCATTACCCCCATCGCCGCCATCACCGCCATCACCCCCATCACCGCCCATCACCCCCATCGCCGCCATCGCCCCCATCGCCCCCATTACCCCCATTACCGCCATCGCCCCCATCACCCCCATCCCCACTACCCCCATCACCGCCACCACCCCCATTACCCCCATCCCCATCACCCCCATCGCCCCCATTACCCCCATCCCCGCCATCACCCCCATCACCGCCCATCACCCCCATCACCGCCATCACCCCCTATAAACTCGACGTTCTCCTCTCTCCGTGTGATCATTGAAACTTTCGGTTACGTAACGCCATCACGGCGCCCACCGTCATCTCCGCGCTCCGCGACGATCGCTATCGGCGACTTGGCGCCCTGACAAGAAATGGTGAGAACCCTCCCCCCCATCATCATCAGCATCATCATCGTGCTGCTGCTGTCAAACCCGACCCAGTGGTGTGAGGCGTGTGGGGGCCACCTCGCCCCGATCCCTCCTCGCAACGACGAGGGGGAAGAGACACACTGCGTCACAGCCCAGTGCCGGATTATCCCTCCTAGCACAAGTAGCTGCTACTAGTAGCTACTACTACACGTGGTGTAGTAGTAGCTACTACTACACGTGGTGTAGTAGTAGCTACTACACGTGTAGTAGTAGCAGCTATGTAGCTACTATGTAGTAGTAGCTACTAGTAGTAGCTATGTAGCTGCTACTACATGTGTAGCTACTACCTATGTAGTAGCTACATAGCTACTACATGTGGAGTAGCTACTAGTAGTAGCTATGTAGCTGCTACTACATGTGTAGTAGCAGCTACATGTGTAGTAGCTACTAGTAGCTACTACACATGTAGTACACATGTGTAGTAGCTATGTAGTAGTAGCTACTAGTAGTAGCGTAGCTACTACTAGTAGCTATGTAGCTGCTACTACATGTGTAGCTACTACCTATGTAGTAGCTACATAGCTACTACATGTGGAGTAGCTACTAGTAGCTACTGTGTAGTAGCTACTACACAGTGCTATACCGCCTTCGACTTTTACGAACGATCGGGTGTTTAAGGTTACCGATTTGTCGTATTATCTGGCCGTATAGCAAATGAAAAAATACAATTACTTTACTGTACAAGTTATACATTTAAGTGCTTTAATATTTACGTGTTTTTAAATATGTAGGGCCCCTTTTATAACAATGCTACGGGCCCCGCAAATCGCTTCATCCGCCATTGCTTGTCTCGCCAGACTTGGGACTGTTGCTTCTCATTCGCTGCTACACCACGCCGCACAGCAGGTCACACGGCAGGTCACACGGCAGGTCACGCGGCAGGTCACACGGCAGGTCACGCGGCAGGTCACGCGGCAGGTCACACGGCAGGTCACACAGCAGGTCACACGGCAGGTCACGCGGCAGGTCACGCGGCAGGTCACACAGGTCACGCGGCAGGTCACACGGCAGGTCACACGGCAGGTCACGCGGCAGGTCACGCGGCAGGTCACACGGCACACACGAAGACAGAAGGCAAAGATGCCCCGTGTAGCCTCAGCAGGTTGCTGGGGTCACGTGTCGCGAGCGAGCAGCACCTGTGGAGGCCGAGACGGCCGCCATTGTCTCCCCAGTGGCGATGTTTAACAGGTACTCATTTGAGGCTGAGTCCACCTAGGGGAGGCACATGACCTATTCAGACATTCATCAATGGTGTTGGTGGCCGTGAGGGGGAATCGAACTCGGGTAGCCTGGTTCATTCAACCACTCATTCACTCAACCACTCACTCGCTCAACCACTCACTCACTCAACCACTCACTCAACCATTCACTCACTCACTCAACCACTCACTCACTCAACCATTCACTCACTCACTCAACCACTCACTCGCTCAACCACTCACTCGCTCAACCACTCACTCACTCACTCAACCACTCAACCACTCACTCAACCACTCACTCCACCACGCACTCACCCACTCAACCACTCACTCAACCACTCACTCAACCACTCATTCAACCACTCGCTCACTCAACCGCTCACTCAACCACTCACTCACTCAACCACTCACTCACTCAACCACTCACTCACTCAACCACTCATTCACTCACTCAACCACTCACTCACTCAACCACTCACTCAAGCACTCACTCACTCACTCAACCACTCAACCACTCACTCACTCAACCACTCACTAAACCACTCAACCACTCACTCATTCAACCACTCACTCATTCAACCACTCACTCAATCACTCACTCACTCAACCACTCACTCAACCACTCACTCATTCAACCAGTAGCTCACTCACTTACTCAACCACTCACTCAACCACTCACTCAACCACGCACTCGCTCAATCACTCACTCAACCACTCACTCAACCACTCACTCAACCGCTCAACCACTCACTCAACCGCTCAACCACTCACTCAACCACTCACTCACTCAACCATTCACTCAACCACTCACTCACTCAACCACTCACTCAACCACTCACTCATTCAACCACTCACTCACTCAACCACTCACTCACTTAACCACTCACTCACTCAACCACTCACTCAACCACTCACTCACACAACCACTCATTCACTCACTCAACCACTCACTCAACCACTCACTCACTTAACCACTCACTCAACCACTCATTCACTAAACCACTCACTCACTCAACCACTCATTCAACCACTCACTCAACCACTCACTCACTCACTCAACCACTCACTCACTAAACCACTCACTCAACCACTCGCTTGTTCGTTTGCCCATTCACCCACCCTACTCACCACACTGCAGATCAACTCGATTCTCTTTCCTGCTCCATTCTGGGGATTTCCTCCTTCCGTCTCCATCATCATCATCGTCGCCGCCGACGCCTCCACCACCCCCCAAGCACAATCACCCGACTCAATTCAAGGAAAGTGTTGCACGCATATCTGTTGCACGTTTGATTAGGGCGCCGTTTGTTGCTGGCCGTTCGATGTCTTCTAAAACGGTGTGCAACATGTTTAGAAGAGAGACATCAACGACACGCGTGGTTGGGTTAGATCGAGTAAATGGAAAGGAAAAAAACCGTTGTGTCGTTGTACCCGCCACCACCCGACGCAGACGATTAAGTAAAGGTTTGTCGCGTTACCAGTCCCGCAACAATCGCAAAACGTGCCAACTCGTTTACGCGCACAGCACGCCGGAGTGCCGACGTCACGAACGCCTTTGGGGCCGTCCATAAATGACGTCACGCACCTAGGGGGTTGTGGGGGGAGGGGTCAGACATTTGTGACGATGTGTGACGAAGGGTGGA